GGGATATAATTTCAAACTATATCCCGTTCGGGATATAAAAAAAATTTTGCTGCAAAAAATGATATCCCAATCGGGATATATATCCCGATTGGGAGTATATCCCGATCGGGATATGTCTCCACACTGTGAGGAAAGTATTCGAATCGAACATGGTTGTTGAACAATGTTTTGCACTAGACAATTTTCTCTTGGTAACAAAAAAAACGTCAAATCTCTATGATATTCCATTACAACATTATATCAGAATCAAAGTTAGGACAGAAATTTTGAATCAACATCATAATTATTTACAAGAGAGATCATGATGGAATTCTTGTGAAAATATGAATTGATTAGACATAGGTCGACGTCAAAAATAATTCTGTCACTTCACCAATAAACAAACGTACGTTTTCATGATCTATTTCACGCAATACTTTTACAATTGTTTTCTTTTATTCTAATATTGATGGTGTTGAACAACTGAGGAAAATGAGGTGTTACTCTGTGGGACACTTTCATTCAGCATTTGCTCTGTTTTAGATTACTTATAGGAAAACTAATTGCTAGCCGAACCATAATTGTTTTTATAAAAATTATTTTACAATAAGAATGAAAAAATTGCGCCATATATCTGTACCATGTATACCATTGACGATGGCAATAGACTACATAACAAGAGAGTTATTATTTAATGATCTTATATCGAGCATCTTCGGTTACATTGAATACTTGTGATATATTAACAGCATTTCATGATTTGAATCAGCGCCTTAGTAACCTTTTGTCTAACATATATTTATATGTGAATAAGAGTGAGAATTTGGGGCTCCGAAATATTATTAAATTACTTCAATATCATCAAAATGTTGTCTCATTAACAGTCATCTTTGACAATTACTATTATTCCAATACAATCCATCTGGAAGGACATGTCCTTGTGTTCTAAGGGGGGGACGGGGTATACCATATTGACACGCTAAGTCCTCCTACATAATAGAAGCCCACCGTATAACAGAAGCTCAGTCCTGAGATTATAATGTCCCGAACATAATAGAGGTCCACTCTGTTCATGTGCATAAATTTCTTTCGTACTGTATATAGTTTCTATATCGGGTAAGCCTATTGGCACTGCCCGGAGAGCCAACAAGAAGCTATTGGCACCCCCGGGAGTGTCAATAAGGAGCTGTGGGCACTCCAAAGTGTGTCTCGAAACGCGTATAGTACTTTTTATAATTTGGTTATACATTTGAATAAATATTTTTTCTTCTTTGTTAGATATTTTTTTAAAATATTAGCATACTCTACCCACACACTGATTTAAAAATATTTTTTCTTAAGAAAGCAAGTTTTTGGGAGGGTCAACAAGAAGCTATTTGTACTCCGATGCAAAAAACTTGTCTGGGAGTGGCAATAAGAACGTCATCTGACATATGAGTGGCCCGACGTTTGAAGGTTCCTCGATCTATTATGCGACTCGCAAAAATTCGGATTGTATATTCACATCTCACTCATCGGGGAGGGAGGAGGACGGATGGATCGTGAGAGTAAGTGAAAAAGCTTAAAATTAAATAGATAAAAATTGATACTGACAACCCTTGCGAGTGTCAGTAAGGAGATCATCCGATATTTGAACAACTCAGTCTGCGGAGATCACTTATACAACTTTTGAACTTGTCTGCTTGGTGAAACTATCGTTCGATTGAGTGGACATCATGACCTTGAATACTCGACATTTTCGCCTTATTATAAGGTTTTATTATACCAATTTTCATATTTAAGATTTTCAGCTTTTTCACTCACTCTCACTATCCACCAGCCCTCCTCCCTTCCCGATGAGAGAGATGCCTGCCAAAATGCTAATATACAATCAGAATCTTACAAGTCAGTAGCTCCTAGCTGACACTCCCAAACGCTTGCTGGGAGTGACAATAGCTCCTTATTGGCATTTTCGGGAGTGTCAATAGCCATTCCGTTCTATGTATGGCTGCGTTTTACGTCTACGCATGCGTACTAACGAAGATGACATGTCTCCTTTTGTTTTTCATCCTGATCTGTGAAAGAGAACAGCGGTATTAACGTTCTCACTTCTTTTACTGTCACGTTAATACTGAATTGCTACTGAGTCAATCAACTTTTTTAACGAAAACATCGAACTGTGTTAGAAATAAAATAAAAGAAGAAAATCAATGAAAATGTGATTATGGTAGATTGTGGTTATGGTAGCTAATATAATTCCTGCTACAGGATGTAAAAAGTTGATCTCAATACAAGCCCACCTCCAAACTTATAATTTACGGAACAAAATATAAGCCCACTAGGCTTATATTCTGTAGGTGTTTAATTAATAAACAGCAGAATCCCTTTTTTATTTGTTTTCAGTAGCAATACAGGGCACTTTATCGCAACAGTTCGAAAGTAATAGAACTACTCTAGTACAACGCGAACTCCTGATAGCGAATATCACGTATAAAGCATTATAAAACCACGGTATCATGGCCTTCTAGACCTGTAGAGATCCTATTTCTCAGGAAAAGAGACCTTTCCTGGGCATTCGCATCATTTTTTTAGTGAAACACTTTCATGAGCTAGTACCGTCAGATTAGAATCTATATGTGCAGCGCTGCAAAATTCCTAACGGATAAAAAGTTTCAAAATACTGCACCATTCCACGGGATTGCAGGAAGTGGGATGACATATATTTCGCACGTACTCGACGTGGCCTATTAGAAAAACCGGTTTTCGCCTTTGTGCAAGTGCTTTCGAAACGGACGAAAATCACCTGGTATTTTACCGGAAAAACACTTTTTAATGTGCTTGGACAAGGGCAAAAACTGTTTTTCTAATAGGCCACATCGCGTACGTGCGCAATATATGCCATCCCACATCCTGCAATCCTGTGGAATGGTGCAGCGCGTACTGAAACTTTGAAAAACAATGAAAATCGTCTTTAAAGTTGTTTTTTCTGTCCTTTTCGATCTCAATGAGAACCATTTCATCGGATAGAGCTTGAAAAGATGCATCGAATACGTATCTTGTTGTTATGTCTTGGCATGATTTTAGGGGTGAAGTATGGTTTACAAAAACGGCCACTTTTCGGAGAAAATGATTTTTTTAAAAGTTCTCCTGAAAACGTGCTTAGCATTTTGAAACTTTTTGTACGTTAGGACTTTTGCAGCGCTGCGCATACAGATTCTAATCTGACGGTACCAGCTCATGAAAGTGTTTCACTAAAAAATGATGGGAGTGCCCAGGAAAGGTCCCTTTTCCTAGAAATAGGATCTCCACAAGTCTAGAAGGCCATGATACGGTAGTTTTAGAATGTTTTAAACATGATATTCGTCATCAGGAGTTCGAGTTGCACTAGTTCTATTACTTTCGAACTGTTGGGATAAAGTCAATGTAAACGTGGTACGCTCTCGGAAGAATAACCCGTATGCGCATATCGTAGGCTGACATTTCATTGACAAACAAACGAGATATATGTGTACATTTCATCAAGGTGTTCTTTTCTTTTTCATCGTTGCATAAAAAGAGAAAGAAGTGAACGGCTTGTCCTCATGTACCTAACACTTTAGGCGTCATCTGCACATTACGTAACCATTGCTTCAATTTTTAGATACTGTGTTCGTTACCGATTGTCAATGAATGTCAGATGATTTGATGCGATTCCTTATACCGAATGGTGGAATAATGGTAGAAATTAGGTTCTACCAGTCCGAGCCAGAATAGTTTAGAATGCCTATCTTCCACAAAAATGAAGTTCAAGTTAGAGAAAACTCGATGCAGAAACATATCTGAGTGAGATTTGTAAAAAGTAGAAACATAGCTAAATAGAGAAATGGTACCTCTATATGGTTTGTACGAAAAACTGTCTTTTATCTTCTAACTAGAAAAGATTTAACCTGTACAAGGCAGAACCTCCCGATGTTTTACGTGTGTTTACCGCCCCCTTCTCTGACTCAATGGCGTTTTTGTTGTGAAAGAGGAGAGAGAGATCGGCAGAAGTATCCCTTGTGGTTGTGTCATGCAAGTCATGCATAGGTGATCACTGCAAAGGTGACGTAAGAGATAATGAAAGAAAAAAAGCCTTTGTTATCTGTGTTTCTTTCTTTCTTTCGACCAGCTCAGCCGACGTCAAAAAAGTGCAACCAAACTTCTCTTTCATCCTCGCCAAAAATCAAGCATGAATGATCAGTAGAATAGCAAGACAAAATGTTGTATTCCCTGCGGACCCGTTTCTCTTATTTTTCGTCGGATTTTCGTCAAACATAGTAGCGATCGCATTTATTTCGTTTTGTTCAATTATTAATAAAGACAATCTTGATGGTTTAGACACACGATAACTAACACAAGAAAAATGGGTAATACTACATTTACTTCTAAACGGAGTAAAAAGAAAAGCTCAGTCAAAGACCACCAGATAAATCATGTCAATCAATCACCCGTCGTCGAGTATAAAACAAATGATGTCAGTCAACCACCCGTTGTCAAGTACACAACAGATGATACCAGTCAATCACCCGTTGTGGAGCACACAACAAATGATGCCAATCAATCACCCGTTGTCGAGCACACAACAAAAGAAGAGCCGTCCACCCCACAAACCATTTGGAATCCAGTATTCAACGAATTTAAACTTGAAGACAGCCCGCAAAATGTCAATTCCTATCTTCCGAAACAGTTTTCTGCTCCGACTTGGACGCATCTGCCACGAGCTGATGAATACAAGCAAGATGTGGTCAAATATTTTTGGTTAAAACTGAGCGAATTTGGGGATGAAATTACAAAATTTATTCCACCGAATGTATCCATCGAAGAATCGAGCTATGTCTGCTTTTTATTTTTCGATCAAAAATTATTTCGTATTTCCATTCGATTATTTCACGATGGCCGGCACCAGAATTATGATGAAATAATCGAAGCATATGCTAAAGCAGTGAATACTCCGATAATCATAACTGAAAATGGAAAGGAATTCTACTATGAAGACAACAGAATCGCCTATTTTTCACGTTTTTCAACAGACAAAAGTCATAGTCTCATTGAAGTTATTCGAAAAGATCAGACAACATCGGATGATGGCCATCAGTATTTTCGTTCAGCAACTCATCATCAGTCACGTAAGTTATCTGTTGAACCGTTGATCTCACCGCAGCCGGACAAATATGACATCATGATTTCTTACTCTCATCATGAGAAAGAAGTTTGTCATCGTCTTTACTACCGTTTACTCGAGAGCAAGTTTCGCGTATGGATAGATCTCGAAAATATGTATGGTCCAATCGTCGAACGAATGGCAG